CGACAACAAGTTTCTTAATAAGATTCCAAGAGGCCCAACTAAAGAAAAGAAGAAATTCTGACTACTCAAAATTAGTTTGATTATTAGGTTCAAAATTGTTCAATGTCAATTAGTGAGTGCCTCCTCACTAATATGTCTCATCCGAATAACATATGTATCTGTGAAGAAGTGTACACATTTTATTTCAGAATAAATTATTAATTAATATATTAGTTTAATTTGCGATCACGTATAATATAGATGATTTTCCATCCACGCGTACCGTGAGCAGTCAATTAGTAGTTAAATTCTCTAGGCTTCAAATGGTTTTCTAGAAATTGTGCTACTCTTTTAATATTTGATGAATCTGATTCATCGAATTATGTATGCAACTATAAAAATATTGTCATATTCCAACAAAAAATGAATGAAAGAAATAAATACTTTTTTGTTTGTAAATATAATATTTTGTGCCTCTAAATATGAATTTAGAATGATTTTTTCGAAAAGGAGATTCAAAAAGTTGTAACTTGAACTCTTAAAAAATAATGAATTTTATTACTTAGGTTGAAAGAAACGATATTGGGTACCATCAATCGTACAATGAAATAAAGGTTTCAATCCCCGCTCGAATGCCTTGCGTAGGGGATCGAATTTCAGAGAGATCAATAGTTTTTGCCTCTTTTCGAGGCAATAGAGTAGGCTAGTAATCACTTCTAGGATGTAAAAGGGGGTGATATGGCTTGCAGCAGCACATTTCCCGCGGTTCACCCCCCGAACTAGCCGAGAGGCCAACTACAAGGGTTCGGTGTTGGGTTCTGTTAAAAACGTCGTTGATATGCACATCCAAATCTAATAAATTAATCCTAACGAAGCGAAATCTACAGTTACATTTAGGACTTACAGTTTAATATTATTGCCGACTTTGAGACGTTTCTGATTTCCGTTGATGGAGATCATCTGAACATCATCGAGTCGCATTTGTCGAGGATCACCGGACTAGCCACGGGATCATTGGGTTGCGTGGGTACATCAAGCGACTTGCTGCCTTCATGTGCGCATGTTGCATCGCATGCTCTTGCGTGGGTGTTGTTGCAGGTTCTGTGTATCCTTGTTGGTCAGGGTGAAGTTGAGAGTAGATGAACTGATTCACGTACCGTCGCAAGATCAGCCACTTCAACCTCATCGGCAAGGCTCCGAAAATAATCATGATTTGTCCATCCACTCGCCGATGCACTCTGGTGACCTGTCCGTACATAAAATTTAAAAAATTAAACAACATACTTTATAAATTCTATAATAAAACAATACGTGAAGTATACTAAAAGATGTAAAAAATTAAACAGAATTTAGGAAAATTATATTCTTTACATGATGTTTAGATAAGTTATATAAATTTATCAATCTCTCAATTATATTTGGCTCCATCACTTCTAGTGTGCTCCAGAACCTGTGTATCATGTCGGGCGTAATAGACATATCCATAGTGTGTGCCGCCCTTAGTTCACAGGCACAAGGAAATCCATGAGTGTATCTCAATGCACATCCGCAGCGCCGCGAAACATCTTCGCTCAAGTCTCCCATCCTCTTAAGCTCATCATTCAATGTCGCACAGTAATATGAGACCCGAAATCTCAACTGCGTGAAAGGGAATCCCTTGTAACCCGTACTCATCCTAAGTCATGAAGACTCCAGCATGTCACTGGTAATACATTACATAACATTAGACCTAATTAAAACATATGTAATTAATGCAGTAATAACACGGCAAATATGTATAACTTAAGGAATATACATGACTTGAGTTAGTTGAGACTCAATCTCCTTGTGAATATTCTCCCACACCGTGTCGAGCGAACCAGTCGACATGTTAAGCCACTGCTTCAATGTAGCATGGAAACTCTCCACCCTACACGACGTTGTGTTGCCAAAATGTAAAACAATGTTCGACCACACTTTGACAAACTTCTTCTTGTGGACTAATCATGTATGCTCCACATATTCTAGCACACGAGGCACGTGCCGAGCATTCATATCATCAATGGCAGTTTTGTATTTATCCAACGTGTTCACCTCACAACGTTCTTCCACCTGCCGTGCGTGAACTTCTGAGCGAAGATCTTATTTTTTGCTGTTAGTCGATAGACCATGTCTTCCACATCCTTGTTGATGTGCCACGTGCAAAGTAAGTGGGGCGACTCTAGAAAGTTCCTTTGAATAGGAGTAATCAAGCCCAACTCCCTGTCAGTAGAGCTGTAAACGAACTGAACGTTCGCGAACAAAAGCTCGTTCGAGCTCGTTTGTGTTCGACAAAAGCTCGTTCGTTTGTTAATCGAGCCGAGTTCCAACAGAAAATTAGGCTCGTTTAATAATCGAACAAACACGAGCTCGTTCGTGAATGTTCGATTATGTTCGCGAACATTATTTTAATATAATTTTATTTTATTATTTATATATTTACATAATGTTTTTAATAAAAAAATCTAAAATTTAATATCATTTAATTTAATTTTTTATATATTTACATAATATTTTAATAAAAAATCTAAAACATAAAAATATTTTTATTTTATTCTTATATTTTCGAGTTCGAATGAGTTCGAACGAACAAATTTTGAGTTAATCACACATATTTAAAGGTTTATGTATTAATTTATTCGAACACGAACGAACTCGAACTTTGACGAACAATTAAACGAATGAACTCGAACACGATTTTTTGCTCGAAAAATAAACGAACAAACACGAAAATTGTTCGAACGTAAACGAACACGAGCTCGAACAGCCAAATCTCGGTTCGGTTCGGTTCGTTTACAACACTACCTATCAGTAACAATGGCTGGGGTGTAAATCAGGCCCTGTCAGAAGTCTCAGCCGTTGTAGGACCCAGTCATAGTTGTACTCGGTCTCGTCCTTGATGATTTCATAAGCAATTAAAAAAGTTCTTGTTGCACGACGTCATTCCAACCATCTCCACCAACGGCATCTGGTACTTGTGCAAATGAAAGCAACAAGAGGAAACATATAATCAAAAAACTTACTCAAACATACTAATAAAGATTCACATTAAATTACTATATATAAAGTAACATAACATACATGTTGGTTTTGTATGTGGAATCTATACCGACATACGAGTAATATGTCCTGAATAGATTGGCTGCTTGTGGATACGACATGAAGACACGTGTCAACGACTGTGTGTCCGGATCAACATATGTGTAAACTATATAGTTGCTGACCTTAGCCAAATGCAGAAGTTGGGTAGCCACATCTCTACCATCCAAACTATCTCTCCGTAATTTAACTTTATCATTATACACTTGTTGGTGTTGTCGACAGGGTTTTTCTCCTGAATCGCAAACAAAATTGCTGCCGGTTTTTCCCGAGCAGCAGTCATATCACGGAAAATCTCTTTGGATGAATCGCTAAGTCCGCTCATCTGTCGATGACCCACGGGATGCACAACCAACGCATGATTATGCGTTCCCTTCTCATCATCATAAGGAACCCAGATACGCCATTTTTGCGATTCTGCTACAAATTTGACTTTTATCAGAAAAGGAAAATTGGACGCTTTAGTTTTCGAAAGCATCAAAACAGCACTAACTAAATTTCCCATACTGCCTCGGTAACGTTCCCCTTGATGACACCTGAACACCTTCTGCTTTCCTTCTTTTTCGTGTTTCGAGATGACCAATTTGAAACACCATATAATTGCAATATCTTTTTCTTATTGAATAACTTCTTCAAAACTATCAAGTAGCTCATCTGTAGTGAAAGCAGGTATGTAATCAACACCGTCTCCACCAAAATCTTCGAGTGGCACCTTGTTTTTCCCATTTTTGTTGCATTTTTCGTTATCTTTTTGTCTTTCTTTTTCCTCCATTTTGGGTCGTTTAGATGATTTTAGTTTGTTCTATGGTTTATTTCGTTTTTTGCTTTATTTTGGTCTTTTTGTGTTTTTTCGGTCCTTTTTCGGTTTTTCGTTGTCATCGGTGTGCAGGTTGGAAGACTCAGGAGAATTTGTTTTCCAAGATTACTGAACCGGGTTAACATGGTTAAAGAGAGCATTTCGTTGGGAGTACATAGGAAAAAGCGGAATCAAATTCCGAGTTCAAACGAATGTATACGAGCCCGAGACTTGAAGTTGTGCGAGTTGTCCATTCGTGTGCCCAGGCCCCGCGCCGCGACAACCAGCTCCTGCTCATGTCGCGCAGCCGCCACGACAACGACAGAGCATCCAGTATCACGCACCATGCCGCGGCACGCTGCGCGCCGCGGCACCCTCCAGCCCCGCGCCGCGAAGATCCCTCACGCCGCGCCAGTCAAGTAGCCCCGCTCCGCGAGCACCCTTCACGTCGCGGCAGACGTTCCCAGGCACCCCCGCATCGCGCCGCGAGGACCTGCGCGCCGCGGCACCACCACGTATCACCCGCGGCATCCTCTCTCGCCGCGCCAGGCCTTCTCTTCGTGTCGCGCCCATCCTCGCGACACACACCACGCGCAGATAGAGCAGCTCCACACTCCATCACGCCACCCTTCAGCCTTCACGCCACGGTGCCATGTCTCCTCGCGCCGCGGTAGCGCCTCGTGCCGTGGTCAACGTCCTTCCTCACGCCGCAGTAGTGCCTCGCGTCGCGACGCCCTGCTGCCCCCGCGCCATCCAGATTTCCCTCACGCGTGGCCAATTTCTCA